AAAGTGTAGGGATAGAGGGCACATACCTCAATATTATCAAAGCCATCTATGAAAAACCCACCGCAAATATCATTCTCAATGGAGAAAAACTGAAAGCTTTTCCGCTAAGGTCAGGAACACGGCAGGGATGTCCGTTATCACCACTGCTATTCAACATAGTACTAGAAGTCCTAGCCTCAGCAATCAGACAACAAAAGGAAATTAAAGGCATCCAAATCGGCAAAGAAGAAGTCAAACTATCACTCTTCGCAGATGATATGATACTATATGTGGAAAACCCAAAAGACTCCACTCCAAAACTGCTAGAACTTGTACAGGAATTCAGTAAAGTGTCAGGATATAAAATCAATGCACAGAAATCAGTTGCATTTCTCTACACCAACAACAAGACAGAAGAAAGAGAAATTAAGGAGTCAATCCCATTTACAATTGCACCCAAAACTATAAGATACCTAGGAATAAACCTAACCAAAGAGACTAAGAATCTATACACAGAAAACTATAAAGTACTCATGAAAGAAATTGAGGAAGACACAAAGAAATGGAAAAATGTTCCATGCTCCTGGATTGGAAGAATAAATATTGTGAAAATGTCTATGCTACCTAAAGCAATCTACACATTTAATGCAATTCCTATCAAAGTACCATCCATTTTTTTCAAAGAAATGGAACAAATAATCCTAAAATTTATATGGAACCAGAAAAGACCTCGAATAGCCAAAGCAATATTGAAAAAGAAAGCCAAAGTTGGTGGCATCACAATTCCGGACTTCAAGCTCTATTACAAAGCTGTCATCATCAAGACAGTATGGTACTGGCACAAAAACAGACACATAGATCAATGGAACAGAATAGAGAGCCCAGAAATAGACCCTCAACTCTATGGTCAACTAATCTTTGACAAAGCAGGAAAGAATGTCCAATGGAAAAAAGACAGCCTCTTCAACAAATGGTGTTGGGAAAATTGGACAGCCACATGCAGAAAAATGAAATTGGATCATTTCCTTACACCACACACGAAAATAGACTCAAAATGGATGAAGGATCTCAATGTGAGAAAGGAATCCATCAAAATCCTTGAGGAGAACACAGGCAGCAACCTCTTCGACCTCAGCCGCAGCAACATCTTCCTAGGAACATCGCCAAAGGCAAGGGAAGCAAGGGCAAAAATGAACTATTGGGATTTTATCAAGATCAAAAGCTTTTGCACAGCAAAGGAAACAGTTAACAAAACCAAAAGACAACTGACAGAATGGGAGAAGATATTTGCAAATGACATATCAGATAAAGGGCTAGTGTCCAAAATCTGTAAAGAACTTAGCAAACTCAACACCCAAAGAACAAATAATCCGGTCAAGAAATGGGCAGAAGGGGCGCCTGGGTGGCTCAGTTGGTTGGGCAACTGCCTTCGGCTCAGGTCATGATCCCGGACTTCCAGGATCGAGTCCCGCATCAGGCTCCCAGTTCTTTGGGGAGTCTGCTTCTCCCTCTGACCTTCTCCTCTTTCATGCTCTCTCTCACTCATTCTCTCTCAAATAAATAAATAAAATCTTTAAAAAAAAAAAAAAAAGAAATGGGCAGAAGACATGAACAGACATTTCTGCAAAGAAGACATCCAGATGGCCAACAGACACATGAAAAAGTGCTCCACATCACTCGGCATCAGGGAAATACAAATCAAAACCACAATGAGATACCACCTCACACCAGTCAGAATGGCTAAAATTAACAAGTCAGGAAATGACAGATGCTGGCGAGGATGTGGAGAAAGGGGAACCCTCCTACACTGTTGGTGGGAATGCAAGCTGGTGCAACTGCTCTGGAAAACAGTATGGAGGTTCCTCAAAAAGTTGAAAATAGAACTACCCTATGACCCAGCAATTGCACTACTGGGTATTTACCCTAAAGATACAAACGTAGTGATCCGAAGGGGCACGTGCACCCAAATGTTTATAGCAGCAATGTCCACAATAGCCAAACTATGGAAAGAACCTAGATGTCCATCAACAGATGAATGGATAAAGAAGATGTGGTATATATACACAATGGAATACTATGCAGCCATCAAAAGAAATGAAATCTTGCCATTTGTGACAACGTGGATGAAACTAGAGGGTATCATGCTTAGTGAAATAAGTTAATCGGAGAAAGACAACTACCATATGATCTCCCTGATATGAGGAAGTGGAGATGCAACATGGGGGATTAGGGGGGGTAGGAGAAGAATAAATGAAACAAAATGGGATCGGGAGGGAGACAAACCATAAGTGACTCTTAATCTCACAAAACAAACTGAGGGTTGCTGGGGGGAGGGGGATAGGGAGGGGGGTGGGGTTATGGACATTGGGGAGGGTATGTGCTATGGTGAGTGCTGTGAAGTGTGTAAACCTGGCGATTCACAGACCTGTACCCCTGGGGATAAAAATACATTATATGTTTATAAAAAAATAAAAATAAATAAATTTTAAAAAATAAAAATAAAAACTAAATCTTTAAAAAGAAAAAAGAAAAAAATTGTTTCAAATTAGAGAAAGAGAGAATGTCAGATACAAAGCAAGAATCTTTTGGTAGAGAAGCCATATACATTTTCAAGGGATTAAGGACACACATGAGAAAATCTCTTCTCCCCCTTTAATAACACTGGGAAATGAAACAGTTGAGGATAGAGAATATAGATCATCTATTGCCCTGCAGTTCAGAGAAAACCATTACTATTTTGATGCTCATACATTTTTTATGGATACACATATGCTTTTTTAGTGTAATGTTTGTAACCAGTTTTTTTTTGTTTTTGTTTTTGTTTTACTTACTAATACGTTCTGTATACAGTCTCCTGTCTCAATGAACATAGTATAGCAGCTACTACTTTTCCATTGGATGGGTGTGCCATAGTTTATTTCACCATTCTGTAACTGAAAGATTTTTAGGTTGTTTGTATTTTTCACTATTAATAAACCTTATTTGTATGATAGTGCTTCTCTGTATAGCTTTGCAAACATGATAATTTCCTTAGGACAAATTTTAGAAATGGAATTACTAGGGGAAAAAGTTTTTGGTATGATTGGCCAAATATCCTTTTAGAAAGGTTTTAATAATGTAGGACTATGAGATGCAGGATCTTAGATGATGTTAGTAATAGGTATTTTCTTTTTGGATCTGTACTTTTTACTACATTAGTTAAAATTTTAAACATTTAAATATTGTAATTCATCTAGAGTATTTGAATAACATAAGGAAGGAACAAGACTCTTTGTTCCCTCTTGGTTATTCAGCCTATTGGTTACTAACTCACTCAATAAATACTTGTCCCTACCATATGTCAGGGACTGTTCCAAGCTCCGTGGGGATTGAGTCAACATGATAGATAAGATTCCTGCTCTGTAGTGGAGGGAAGCAGACAATAAACAGACCAACAAGTAAATGAGTAAGTAAGAAAAATATCAGCTTGTGATAAGTACTTTGCAAAAACTTGAAACAGAATTTTGATGGAGAAGGATTGAATGGTCCCTAAGGGGAAGTCCTCTCAGGGTTGGTGACCTTGAGTTGAGATCTGAATGATAAGTGGGAGTCAAGTTTGTGAAAATCTAGAGGAACAACTGTGCTGAGCACGTATGAGAATATGCTGAAATGTGGGTAGGAAGGTAGGTAAAGGCCAAATCTTGGTGCTTCCTAACCCAGAGTTAAAAGCCGTGGATGGTGGTCATTAGAGAGACTGAATGGGTTGTATTCTACCTGCAAACGCTCCCTTCTGCCTACAAAGGGAGTAAGAATGGGAGACCACTTAGGAGGTTATGGGATACTTGTCTCAGCTCCATTGATCGCAAAATCTACTCTTTCCCTATTAAGTTAAACGTATCTTTTGGTCCTATTTCTGTACTTTTCCCCAATTTTATTGATTAGTTTTCACATTTTTGATGAAGGGTACAGTGTTCTCATCACTGTAGCTGTAGCTATAGAAAATAGTTCTATATCTGTTACTGTTGGTCTCACCAATTATTTATACTTTTTGAATATTTCTAATGTATTTGTTCTGTAAGTGGTATTTTTTTTTTAAGATTTACTTATTTATTTTAAAGAGAGTGTGAAAGAGCAGGGGGAGGGGCAAAGGAAGAGGGAGAGAATCCCAAGCAGACGCCCCACTGAGTGCAGAGCTGGACATGGGCCTCGATCTAATGACCCTGAGATCATGACTTGAGCCAAAATCAAGAGTTGGAAGCTTAACTGACGGAGCCACCGAGGCGTCGCATCTCTGGGTGTGTTTTGCAGTCATTGTACCTCATCTGAAAAATTGAATGCATTGACATTTTCATAGAAATTACACTAAATTAGGGGCGCCTGTGTGGCTCAGTTGGTTGAGTGACTGCCTTCGGCTCAGGTCATGATCCCAGACTTCCAGGATCGAGTCCCGCATCAGGCTCCCAGCTCCTTGGGGAGTCTGCTTCTCCCTCTGACCTTCTCCTCTCTCATGCTCCCTCTCACTCATTCTCTCTCAAATAAATAAATAAAATCTTTAAAAAAATTTTTTTTCTAAAAAAAAAAAAAGAAATTACACTAAATTAATGGATTTACTAAGGTAGTGTGAGCATCTTCACAACGTTATGTTTACTGTCCTGAAATATTTTCTCTCTCCCGACCCCCTTTCTTCTTTTCCTGCCTCTGCCCCTCCTCTCTGTCTTGCTCTCTGAGTTTACAAGATTTATCTTCTCTCCTTTATGTTTTCAATTCCCTAATCTTCAGGAAACCTAAAATTATGAAATTAAACAAAGGAGCCTACATTTATTATTATTATTGCTAAAGCAAAAGGAATTATTTTAATGTTATAGTTTAAATCTAGTAATTACTGCATAAAGAGACTTTATGTCTGTATTAGATAACAGCCCACTTAATGATCTACCAGTTATAATTATGATTTTGACTTCTTGCCAGTTTGTCTAGTTGATTAATAACAAATATGTTTCTGACATTTACTATGGTATGTAATTCTTCCCCCATCCTCCCAGGTCTTGGGCTTGCCTTCAACTTGAATCCCGCTCTGACCATGATTGGCAAGTATTTCTACAAGAGGCGACCTTTGGCAAATGGACTGGCCATGGCCGGCAGCCCTGTGTTCCTCTCCACCCTGGCCCCCCTCAATCAGGCTTTCTTTGGTATCTTTGGCTGGAGAGGGAGCTTCCTAATTCTCGGGGGCCTGCTCCTAAACTGCTGTGTGGCTGGAGCCCTGATGCGACCAATAGGGCCCCCAGCAACAAGTGCGGGAAAAGACAGGTCCAAAGAACCCCATCAGGAACCTGGAAAATCTGATGTAGAAAAGGGGGCAGGTGATGCAAATACAGACTTTAATGGTGGAAACCCCAAAGAGGAGAAACAATCAGTTTTTCAAACAGTGAACAAAGTTATGGACTTATCCCTGTTTACCCACAGAGGCTTTCTACTGTACGTTTCTGGGAATGTGATCATGGCTTTTGGGATGGCTACTCCTTTAGTTTTTCTTAATAGTTATGCCAAGAGTCAACATTACTCTAGTGAGAAGTCTGCCTTCCTTCTTTCCATTCTGGCTTTTGTTGACATGGTAGCTAGACCTTCTATGGGACTTGTAGCCAACACCAAGTGGATAAGACCTCGAGTTCAGTATTTTTTTGCAGCTTCTATTGTTGCAAACGGAGTATGTCATTTGCTAGCGCCTTTATCCTCCAGCTACACTGGGTTCTGTGTCTATGTGGGCTTCCTCGGATTTGCATTTGGGTGGTTTAGCTCCGTGTTGTTTGAAACCCTGATGGACCTCGTTGGACCCCAGAGGTTCTCCAGCGCCGTGGGATTGGTGACCATTGTGGAATGCTGTCCTGTCCTCCTGGGGCCACCACTTTTAGGTATAGTATGCCCTACTCCCTCTTTGGTTCTATTAACATGAAGCAGGCATAGGAGATGGAAGGGTGCTAGAAAGCCCAGATTAGTAAGCTGCCTGGTGGCAGAAGGTATTTCTGATTCCTCTAGCCTCAGTGCTGGCACAGTGCTTGGCACAGCAGAACTGCTCCGATTCTTACGGAAGTGAATTACACTCAACCATCCACGTGAAAGGGGAGTCAAAAACAATTGCAAATTTAAATATTTATTAAAAAAGCCTTTTCTGCTCATAAAACTAACATGTTTATTATAGAAAAATATGTAACATATACTTCACCTTATAATACCTTGGTAATTCCATTTTAATTGTGGAATTTATCTTAGTAGTAATATTTTAAAAAATAACAATATTGACCAGGTGAGGGTTCACAGTGTACCCGGGACTGTCTTAATCATTTCATACACTCCATGTCCCTACTTTATTATTGAAGAAACAGAGGCTTCTAAAAGTGAAATAACTTGCCCAAGATCGTACAACTGTAAATGACCATGGAACCTGACGGACGATTCTCTAAGAACACCAAAGTGTTTACAATTTAAAATTATTATTAATGCAAAATGCAAGAATCATTTAGACTTCCTCTGGATATGACTCATGCTTTTGAGATTATCCATTCTCAATAAGGAAGGATTCATAAAAGAAGATCCACTACTAACTTTTCTGAACTCCCCACCCTCATTCCTCCCTATATCCAATGAGAGCCCAAGTCCTCTAAGTAAATTCCTAAAGATTTTTTTTTTTATTTGACAGACAGATCACAAGTAGGCAGAGAGGCAGGCAGAGAGAGAGGAGGAGGAGGCAAGCTCCCTGCTGAGCGGAGAGCCCAAATGCGGGACTCGATCCCAGGACCCTGAGATCATGACCTGAGCCGAAGGCAGAGGCTTTAACCACTGAGCCACCCAGGCGCCCCAGTCCTCTTAAGTAAATTCCTAAGTCTCTTTCTAATCAGCCCACTTTTCCATCACACCACCCTATTCACAGCTCCTGTCTCCCATCTGGGCTGCTGCTTCCCATAGCCTCCTGGCTGGTGTACCCATATCCACTCTATCCCACCTTCAATCTGTTTTCTACTCTGCAGGTAAAATTTATTTGTACAAATGCAAACCTGATAGCCCAGTTGATAAGATCTTTCCAGTTGCTTCCCAATGTTCTCAGCCTGGAGATCAGATTCCTTTCCGTGGCCTACAAGGCGTTCCCAGCCTGGCCACCAATCTCTCCAGCCTCATTTCCTGTCACTCACATTTTGTTCTCTCTGTTCCAGCAACCCCGCCCTTCCTCTTTCCCTTCTCACATCGCAGCTTCCTCCCACCTGCCTTTGCACTTGCTGTTCCCCGGCCCCAGCCTTCTCCCATCTCCTCCTCTTGGATAACTCCCATCCCCCTCTAGGTCTCTGCTTCATTTACACTTTAAGAGAAAGTTCCACATAGCTTTGTTTTGGATATCTTCAGGTCATCTGAATGACATCTGCGGAGACTACAAATACACCTACTGGGCATGTGGTGTGATCCTTATTGTAGCAGGCGTCTATATCTTCATTGGCATGGGCATCAATTACCGACTTGTGGCGAAAGAGCAGAAAGCAAAGGAGCAGCAGAAAAAGGAAAGCAAAGAGGAGAAGCCAAAAGAAGTTATTCAAGCAAAAGAATCCACAGAATATTGAAGTCCATGAGGCCCCAAAGAGGAGAAACATCCCATTTGAATCATGGATAACGAGAGGAACTTTGGACCAAAAATACTTGAAAAATACTACTGAATCATGTTCTATTAGGGCTGCTCACCATGGCCCAGGGATATTTGTGTGCTGTCCTCCAGATGATGGAGCACAAAGCTAGCTGAGGACAAAGCACAGGTGACACCCTGCAACCTCCCCGACCCCCACTGGTGGGTGCTACACATGTGACATTCCTCCAGGAAGCTCCCAACTGTCTCGATGTTAATGGCTGACTAGAGGGAAAAACAACCTGAAATTGACTATGTCAAGGCCTCCAGTATCTTGTAAGTCCTCCCTAGCATAGGAAAGTTCTTTTGAAAACCTCCCTTTCCCTTACTTCCCCCAGCTCCCAAGTATATAATCAACCACCCTGCACAACCCCAGGGCAGGGTCCTGTCCCTGTGCTTTAATAAACCACCAGTTTGCACAGGAGAGTCTCAAGATTTCTTTCTTGGTCATCAACTCCGGACCTCATCCCACCAAACCTCACCTATATTCAAAGACTACATCAATACCAAAGTCCACTGACGGCATTTTTATTTCATGCCTTTCCAGCAGTCATAATGCATATGTCACATCCTTTGGGGTCAGAGGATTTACAAAAGATAACAGATGGAAATTGCTTCTATCCAAAGTCATGTTTATTAAGGTATACTTTACATATAGGATAAGTCTCTTTATTTTTTTAAAGAATTTTTTTAAGGTTTTATTTATTCATTTAACAGAGAGGGGAGTACAAGCAGGGAGAGCAGCAGGCAGAGTGGGAGGGGAGAAACAAGCTCCCTGCTGAGCCAGGAGCCAGATGTGGGACTCGATCCCAGGACCCTGGGATCACGACCTGAGCCGAAGGCAACCGCTTAATGAACTGAGTCACCCAAGCGTCCCAGGATAAATCTCTTTTATAAGACTAAAGTTTGATGCATGGTATTTAGATCAGTAACTACCACACCAATATAGAGCATTTCGAACAGCCAAAAGAATTCCCTCCTGCCCCTCTGCAGTCAGTTCCTTTCCTTTCCCTACAGCCCCTGGAAACCACTGCTCTGATTTATGTCCCGTATGGTTTTGCCTTTTCCAGAATGGAATAAGTGAAATCACAAGGCATGTAGCTGGCTAATAGGAAATATATATTTGGTCTTTGTCCCTAGTTCCTGGTACCCAGTTCCTAAAACCCTTGGGTTTCCAGAGCAATGAGTGTCTTCTGCATGCTAATCAGATGACTGGTGGCTGGAACCCCCTAGATAGCTTCAAGAATGAGGCTGGTCTCCACAAAGGCCAATGCGTGATTAGAGGGTTGGAACTTCCAGCCCCTCGCCGTGACCTTTTGGGGGGTGAGGGTGCTGGAAGTTGAGTTCAATTACTAACAGCCAATGATTTAATCAATTGCAGCTTGGTAATGAACCCTTCTAAACTTCAAGGCTTAGAGAGCTTCCTGGTTGGTGAATATATTGATGGGCTGGTGTTGGGAGGGTGGTGTGCTCAGGGCACGCAAGCTCCCGCCATGCCTCCCCACATATCTCGCCCATTGCGTCCTATGCACCCCTTCCATGTGGCTGTTCCCGAGTCATATCCTTTAGAAATAAATCAATAAATGTAAGCAAAGCATTTCTTTGAGTTCTGTGAAATTCCTGGCAAGTTACCAAACCTGAGAAAAGCGTGATGGGAACTCCCAGCTTCTAGCTAGTCAGTCATAGGTACAGGTGGCGCCCCAGGACTTGTGGCTGGAATCTGGAATCTGAAAGCACCATGGGACCGGACCTTTAAAGCTGTGGAATCGGACGCTAACTCTAGGGACTTAGGGCTAGCCCTGAATCGGAGTACAGGACACCTGGTTTAGAGTCGAGAGTTGGAGAAGGGGTTTGTTGTCATGGAAAAAATTCAATGTCAGAAGAGTTGTAACAGAGTAACCTCTGTATCTGGCTTCTTCTTCTTTTTTTTAAAGATTTTATTTATTTGAGAGAGACAGTGAGAAAGAACATGCTTTTTGCTTCTTTTTTTTTTTTTTTAAAAGATTTTATTTATTTATTTGACAGAGAGAGATCACAAGTAGACAGAGAGGCAGGCAGAGAGAGAGAGAGAGAGAGAGAGAGGGAAGCAGGCTCCCTGCCGAGCAGAGAGCCCGATGCGGGACTCGATCCCAGGACCCTGAGATCATGACCTGAGCTGAAGGCAGCGGCTTAACCCACTGAGCCACCCAGGCGCCCCTGCTTTTTGCTTCTTTAAGATTTGGATTCTGGGGCGCCTGGGTGGCTCAGTAGGTTGAGAGAAGGAAACCCTTATGCACTGTTGGTGGGAATATAAATTGGTTCAGCCACTACGGAAAATAGTATAAAGGTTCCTCAAAAAATTAAAAATACGGGGGGCGCCTGGGTGGCTCAGTGGGTTAAAGCCTCTGCCTTCGGCTCAGGTCATGATCCCAGGGTCCTGGGATCGAGCCCTACGTCAGGCTTCCTGTTCAGCCGGGAGTCTGCTTCTCCCTCTTTCTCTGCTGCTCCCCCTGCTTGTGCTCTCTTTCTCTCTCTCTCTCTGTCAAATTAACATATAAGATCTAAAAAAAAAAAAAAAAAAAAAGGAGTTGGATTCTGGTGAAAGGGAGGTGAGTGTGACACTGAACTCAAGAGCACAAAACACAAATGGCCTCAAGTCACGATTTTGCTGGGACAGGACAGAAGCTGTGGCATGCAGAGGGTCCACAGGGTGCCAGCACCAGTGCCACCTTCCTGGAGACAGTGCTCTTGGGGACAGCATCCTGTAGTTCTCCTTCTGATCATTTTTCATCTTCAAGTGAATGTTGAACTCAGGAAGCCTGAACATTCAGCACTTAACCACATCCTAGGGTTGCAGTATACTAGAAAGTCATTTTACTGAGATCAGCATCAGGAAAAAATGCAGTGTTAGAAAAAGGGAAATGCTGTTCTGAGGAGGAAGCCAGCCACTGACCTTTCCACACATGCATCCAGCAGATATTACTTACATTTCCCCGGGGCCAGTTCTAAGCACTATTGTAGGCACCGAAGATTCCTGAAGAAACAAAACAGAACTGTCTTCCACGGTTCTTCCCTTCTAGTAGGGGGAGACTGCCAGTGAAGAGTTAAGTTATACAGAAAATGGCAGTTTAAAGAATAGAGCAATGGATATAAGACCAGCCTTCATTCATTTATTCATCTAAACAACACATTTTGGAGGGGCACCCAGCTGACTCAGCAGAGCATGCAACTCTTGATCTCAGGGTTGTGAGTTCAAGCCCCACACTGGGCATGGAGCCTACTTAAAAAAAATAATAAAACTTAAAAAAAAAAACCCAGCATTTTGGGGGAGTGTATTCTATGTGCCCGACTATCTACTGAATAGAAAAGATATAATAGTGAACAAAATTTGGTTCCTGGCACCACCCGCAGCTTCTCATCTAGTGGGGAAGATTATGTAGTAAGTGCTGTGATGGGGCAGCACATAGAAAGGCAACTATCTGAATCTTGGGAGGGCCTAGAAAGTCTAAAACACACACACACACACACACACACACACACACACACACACACACACATATATGGGTTTTTTTAGTAACATCTACGCCCAATGTGGGACTTGAACTCACAACCCTGAGATCAAAAACCACATGTTCTTCTGACTGAGCCAGCCAGGTGCCCCTAAAAATACATTCTTGAGCAAGTAATAGAGCAACTTCTCTTAGTCTCATAAAATAACGATAATATAATTGTGAGTATTAAAGGCGAAAGTACAAAACATATTGTTTTAAAGTCATTTTAGTAATAACATTGGAATCTACTCTCACCCAGCAGTATCATGAGGGAAGCATCAGTAGTGTTCCAACGTAAACCAGAATAACAATGAAAAGGAACTGCTAGTAATATCTACATAGTTCTCACAGTACATGAAATTCCAGGATAATTAACATGCAGTGTTAGTTTCGGGCATGCAACATAGTGATTCAACAATTCTATACATGGGAACAATGGCTATGAATGACACACTGGACCAGATAGACTTAACAGGTATATTCAGAACACTTCATCCTAAAGCAGCAGAATACACATTATTCTGGAGTGCACATGGAACATCTTCCAGAACAGATCACATACTAGGGCCCAAATCAGCCCTCAACAAGCACAGAAAGATATGCGTACCATGCATGTTTTCAGATCACATTGCTATGAAACTTGAAGTCAATCACAAGAAAAAATTTGGAAAGACCACTTACACATGGAGGTTAAAGGCTGTCCTACTAAAGAATGAATGGGTTAATGAGGAAATTAAAGAAGAAATTTTAAAAATACATGAAAGCAAATGAAAATGAAAACATGACAGTCCAAAAACCTTTGGCATGCTGCAAAGGTGGTTGTAAGAGGCAAGCATGTTGCAATACAGACCGACTTTAAGAAGCAAGAAAAGTATCAAATATACAACCTAACCTTACACCTAAAGAAGCCTAAAGCCACCAGAAGATGGGAAATAATAAAGATTAGAGCAGAAATAAATGGCAAAGAAACAAACAAAAACAGTAGAACAGATCAATGAAACTAAGAACTGGTTCTTTGATAGAATCAGTAAAAGTGATAAACCCTAGCCAGACTCATTAAAAAGAGAAGTGAAAGGACCTAAATAAATAAAATCAGGAAGGAACTATGAGAGATCACAACCAACACCACAGAAATACAACAAATCATAAGAGAATATTTTGAAAAATAATGCCAACAAACTGAGCAATCTGGAAAAAAAATGGATACATTCCTAAAACATACAAACTACCAAAACTGAAATAGGAAGAAATAGAGAATTTGAACAGACCCATAACCAGCAAAGAACTTGGATTAGTCACCAAAAGTCTCTCAACAAACAAAAGTTCAGAGCCAGATGGCTTCCCAGGAGAATTCTACAAGATATTTAAAGAAGAGTTAATACCTATTCTTCTCAAACTGTTAAAAACAAAT